TAAAGTAAAATATACTTTAAAACAAACATTTAACTTGTTTTCCAACCTAAATGATTCTATGATTCTGTGGCTTAGCATTGATATAGCACTCTTAATTCTCAATAACCACCTTTATAACAGGCTGGAAACTTATCAGTGTGTCAGTCCGAAAAACATTATGACAAGTACCTATGCAGGGACAAGAAGACGATTTTTGGGATATGGGCTGCTAACATCCCAAAATACAAAGGCTTCCTTCCCGGAGTCACTCACTTTGGTTTTCGTACAATCCACAGCTATGGAGTCTACACTCCCAGCATGTCCCCTGCAGCAGTGAAGGGCTTTCACTTTGTTTTTCTCCATGTTCCACTCCCACAGCAGGACAGTTTGGTCCATAGAAGCACTGAGTAACAGGCACGATAAACTGTCTGAGGAAGAAAAAAGTTACGCTCACACCCAACTCGGCCTTCCAAAGTCTTTATAGTCTATAATTATTCTAATCAGAGAAGAAATAGCAGATGGATAGAATCTCGTATGTATTTCAGTTTACATCATGTTACCCTGCAAGTACAATTAATATATTTACCAATATTTACTAATGAAGACTGCAAGGTGGATAGACAAGGTACATGTTAAACTAATTATATTCAATTACTGTTAAAAAACTATTTTACCCACACCATGACTTCATTTCTAACACCACTGACAGAGATTGAAATAATTATAGCATTTAGATAATTAAATATTCATGGTTGAGGAATCTTGACATTTCTCCCCCAATAACTCAAAGTATTACGACTCCCCTAACATATATACTGACCTTGTTTCACCCATGCCACATCCTTCACTACTTCTGTATGCCCAGCTATTGTCATGATGGATTTTCCTTCCAAAGACCAGACTCGAGCAGTCTGATCGTAGCAGCCAGTTAATATCCTACAGGGTACAAAATTTGACACATCATTGTCTTTAGGACCAACAGTGTTTTTATGAAAAAAAGCCTCAACCAGAAACTTGGAAAAATATTAGCACAATAACTGGTTTAAAAAGAAATAGCTTGGAAAAGTAAAAAAAATCTTTTTGTTACAGAGTAAAGCTTCATTAAAGCCTAGAAGCGAGGGGCTAGGAGTACAGGCCAGAAGGAAAAGCAGAGAGAGTGCTGCATATTCTGGTAAGTAAAAATCACTTATATAATTTACATAATTTAAAATTTAATTTGTCGTTTCTGGTATATTACTAGAGGTTCTCAAAGCATTTTCAGACCATTGCTTAACATATGAACATCATCTGGTTGACTGGGAAATGAATGTGAAAACACAGTAGAAAAAGACAATTATGGCTGTTTGGCTTTTTTTAAAGATAAACTCTGCATAAAGTCACACTATTCTATTTGTTGCTAATGAGCGTCTCATTGGAAGTCAAGGGTTTAAGCAAAAGAGATGAGGAAATATCACTGTACTTTAAGAGAAAGGATAGTAAACAGCATTTGTTTTGTTTGTTTATATTAGCAACTCTTGCAACAAACATGGGTAGAGCCCTTCCCAAATCTTCCTTCGTGAAGCCTAGCCATGATGATATTAGCAATACCTCATGTTTAGTGACTCTGGCTTTTTTCTACTTGTGTTACAGTTATTGTCAGTGAACTGCTTACAAAAGCAAGTAGCTGATTGACTTGCCAGGTTAAAAAAAATAAAACAGAAATAGAGCAAAGAGGGGAAAAAACTCCACCCATTTAACACTATGGAGGAACAGGAATAAGCAAGACAAAACTTAGAATTGGCTTAGTGTGGTACCATTCTTCAGTGCCTTGAACAGAACTGATCCAGTCATCGTGGAAGATGCATTCTTCTGGCTGAGGGGCCATATATTTCTCCACATACTCTATTTCCACCACTTCTTCCTGAGCTCACAGAAAAAGTACTTAATTATTGAGGTTTCGGTTTTTTTAATCAATAACAATAAAATTTAACTGTAGTGTGGTACAAATACACAAAAGCAAAGATCTTGGTATCCAAGTCCTTTGCCACAATAGTGGAACTGAAGACTTTAGGAAAAAAGCGTGAATTATATTGCTTTCCATATTTTTATCAAGTTACTATTAATAGCAAGCTGAAAGCAAAAGCAAGTAATTTTGCTCTTCTTGAATTCTCTTCTGTATTTACCATATAAAACTGGTGTCTACAGCACTTCACAATGTTTTTCTAGAGGTAATATTAACCTTCCCCATTATCCCCCAATGTGAGAGACAAAAACATATTAACGATGAACTGAATGAAACAAGAATTTTCCCTCTGGACTGTATACAGACAAAAGAATGGGTAACGATGTTCCTTGCACTGCTCAGTCCCATAGTCTCTAATCACTTTGCAGTTCAGAATGGATTTAAAAATACATGGAATTCTCCTGGGAAAGTCATAAAAGAAATAAAACTGAGCAAGGAAATCTACCTAGTCAGGATAATAGTGTAATACCCAAAGGAGATTGAAGTAAACTGGCTATGTCTGTTCTGCTGCCCAAGAAGGGGAGAAATTGAGTATGACTTACCGTGGAGATATTTTCCATTTCCATATGTGTGACCAGCGGCACTCGCAAGAACTGGCCATTGATAAGGAAATCAAATTCCACATATTTGTGATCCTCTAAAACAAATTAGGAAAAATCCATGTTCAGGTGTCATTATTTATTTGATACCATCAAGAATAGCATCATTTTGTGGCTAGTACAGGAGAAGGAGACAGGAAGAGGTTAAAAAAAGACCAAAACAAAACCAAACAAGAACCCCCAAACCAAACCAACCAAAAATGACAAAAAAAACCAACAACCAAATCAGTTAGTTTCTTCTCCCAGTTTTAAGTGGGCAACCCATGAATCCCAGTGGATTATTTGAGAGGATGGAAAATTTGCTGTTCAGTTCAAAGAGTTAAGTTCGCCTCTTACTGTATTTTTTCTGTAGCTATGTGTAATCAAACCCCAGTGGTACTCCCACTTGCTTGCCACTGCTAGGCCACATCTTTGTTACCATCAGCTAGAGCCCTGTATTTGTGGCAGCAAAATGAAAATCCTAGGAACTTTTGGTTCACACTTCTCCCTCTGTAATGGCATAGTTGACAAAGGCCCCACATTTTGGCAGAAGCACTGCACTGTGCACTAGCTTTCTATTCAAGGTTGTTTGCGACTTCATGGGTTAAAAGCAACTTGCAGAAGTCTCAAGAAGATATCGTTGGTCCAGTTTCTTATAGAACACGGGATTTTTCAACAGCATTGCACAGGTGTCTTTCCCCAGAAAATCTTTTGAGTCAGTCAGGCCCATTTCAGCTGGCATTGACAGAATGGCTGAGCTTTTCTCAAAGGCTTTCATAAAACCCAAACCTTTGGTTTCATCAGTTCTTGTGCCAGGTTTTGGGCAGCGCTTCCACTCCCATCTGCTGTGGCAGCCTGGCCTGTGGCGCTGGGCACGCACTATCCCAGCCTCTGGAGCATCTCTCCCGGTAGTGGTGTTTAGCCCCGGTAGAGGTGTTTAGCCCCGGTAGAGGTGTTTAGCCCCGGTAGAGGTGTTTAGCCCCGGTAGTGGTGTTTAGCCCCGGTAGAGGCGTTTAGCCCCGGTAGTGGCGTTTAGCCCCGGTAGTGGCGTTTAGCCCCGGTAGAGGCGTTTAGCCCCGGTAGAGGCGTTTAGCCCCGGTAGAGGCGTTTAGCCCCGGTAGAGGCGTTTAGCCCCGGTAGTGGTGTTTAGCCCCGGTAGAGGTGTTTAGCCCCGGTAGAGGTGTTTAGCCCCGGTAGTGGTGTTTAGCCCCGGTAGAGGTGTTTAGCCCCGGTAGAGGTGTTTAG